ATCCTGCTGAATGTAACCTGGTGATTCTTGGTGTGATGGGCTGCGGGAAGTCAGGTCTTTGAATCTTTCACTTCAACAGATGTTTAGATTTTTTTAGTCTTCCTTTTTAAGCTGAGGGCTGACTGATTTGCTAGATTGTTTTTGCCATTTTGCTCTAGTTTTTACTTGCAACCAAATAACTGTTTTAGCGATTCATGTTTAAGAATCACAAAGTTACAACTTCAGTGAGCCTGCATGAACACCAGATCCACCAGGAAATAAAAAAAAGTAAAACATTTTCAGTAGTAAGTAGAAACAAAACATTTCAACTTTCCAGAGGAAGTTGTTTCATGAGATGGACAGCTCCATAATTCCCTGGGTGGTTTTTATTTATTTATTTCCCTCAAATGTTCAGTGTGTTTTTGTAGCAGTGGTTTTCTCATGCCCCTCACTGACCCTGGTCTCTTGAGGCTCCACGGTCACTCCCATAGACTCTCTTCTGTCTTTGTTCTTGTTTTACAGCACTGACAGTCAAATTTCTCACAAAGCGCTTCATCACTGAATATGACCCTAACCTAGGTAAGAAAACAAACAGCAGTGCTGGTCGATGGTGATGAAAGGGAGGGAGAACATTTTTACTATTTATATGCTGTATTTAAAGTGAAATTTCCCCCCAGTATATTTCCCCTTCATGCTCTAGCATTTGTATTGTGTCTTGGAAGCCAGTTTCACCATATTGTTGTTTGTGTTTTACAGTTGTGATTGTCTTCAGCCTGTTGTGTTTCCTTTTAATGTGACTTTTGTTATGTTTCTGTGGGACACATTTTCACTCTTGAGTGCATCCCCCCCTCATGCTGTTCTGGAGCCGATTACGTTCAGAGTTTCAAATGAAAATGGACCGAATACGTTTCATTTTCATTGATTCTTTTACTCGCAGTATGCTGTAAGTGATATTTAGCATCTCTGCTGGAGAGAGTCATATGTACAACCTGTGGGGCCTTAACGTTCTCACTGGGATTTGTGCAGATGAAACATTATGAATGAGAAATGACTTCGTTTTGTAGATTTGTTTAAAAACAAACTTTCACATTTTAGACATTTTGTACACAGTCCCAATTTTCAGAGGCTCAGGAGTAGCTGCAGAGTCAATGGTTTTGTTGTCAGGAGAGAGGCCCGGCTCCAGTGAATGAATGAGAGAGCAGCCTGGGGTTAGTATCCTACCCAGCGGTACATTGGCATGCGGACTGGAGCATGTATCGAACCCTAGTGGATTACCTGCTCTACCTTCTGATCTACAGCTGCCCCTAGAGAGGCGTGTTCCTCTGTTTTTCTGTGACAAACTGAGCAAATAAATGATCTGGAGTTTATAAAATATGTTGTGTTAAGTCTTAGTAGGAGTTCCAAAGAGATGCTGGTGAGTAAAGGCGGCTGCACTTTAATCACATCTTGATGAATTGATTTAAAATCCTCTGTGATGGTGAACAGAGGCAGAATTACAAACTGTATCATGGTCTAGAAGCACTTATTATTCTCTTTGACCTGGTGACAAACAAAAGTGATTTCTACATCTCCTCTTTTCTCGTGTGAGGGACAAAGTCAGACCTGAAAACAGTGACATGTAATGTTTAAGCGTTTGCACTTTAACGTTTTAGACCTTTAACCCTCAGCTGTGATGGAACAGACTCATTTATTTCAATGAACATAATTATTTTTCTATTCTTTGTGATGAATTCATGAATTTCTGCACTTTATTAATAATTAATGGAAAAGACAGCTAAGATAAACTGAAAATCTAAAATATATACAGTATACTGAAA